GGGTCATTGAACCATCTCTTATCTGGAACACTGTAGGGGTCTACTGGTTGATACAGTCGGTTACTCTATTCACACCTGCTGGCCACTTCAACTTCTACTGACACCTCTGCTTACAGAATTATGCCATACAACAGCAGACAAAAGTGCTGACACTTGACGATGTTGATACTGAGTGTACAGTGGTTCAACTGGGAGTCAAACATGTAACATTCCATTCTGCGGAATGATGCACATCCAATCAAACTAGGTGCAGCAGAGATGATTAATTTTAGGCCATATAAAGATTGGCATCATTCAAAAACAAAAATAAGTTACCTTCGTCATCATTAAAATTCAGGAATTCTAAGGAACAATCTCCTTCAAGTACTCTGTCCAAGTCAAATACTTCACCATTGACCTAAAAAATGACAGAAAAGTATACAATGTATTTAAACAAAGTCAGCCAGTACCATACATTTTAGCAATTTACTTATCAGATTATTCAGCTTCCTAGACATTTTCGGAAAGACAGTAGCTTAACTAGTAAATGTGACATATGTAAGTTCTAAGTTCTTGTTAGTATTGCAATGAAATTGTTTTATAACACAAAACTAACAAACAAACTCACCACTAACCTTACAAATAACAGTGTTATCAGCAAGACCTTGGCTAACAAAAGGAATAGAGACATAAGGGAAAGTTAAGTAGATTTCCAGATATTAACTTACTGATATTTACAGTAAAAATATCACTGTAAAAATCATATTCAGTTGATGTTGTGATACATGTATTATAAATAATTATTTTTATATTCCTCATGGCTTCCTGTGAGAAATGATCATGGTTAAAAAAATTCACATCCATACCTTATTGAGGCAGCAATTTCATAAGGTGTAGTCTTCCAAGCCAGACCATCTACGACTTTACCATCACGCAGAGTGATTTTGATGGGTGTTTTCTCTTTGGCTGTAAAGAAAAAAGACATTTTAAAATTAAATGAAATTATTTGTCATTAAATAACAAAAAAATGAAAAATTGAAATTGAGGAGGCCCAATTAACATAAGCTAAAAAGTTTCCTTTAGGCCTCCTTGCAATTTTTTCTGCTATTTTTGAGTCTTTTTTGTTCTTGTAGTATTATCTGCGTGGCAAATAAATAAAATACAAATACAAATATAATACTAATACTGTATTAAAAATTAATATTATTTCATGAAAATATTGAAAATTTTTCAATGTTAAAATCACTACCAACACCACCATCAGCACTTTCATCCTTGTCATCATTATCACCCTCATCAACATCATGATAATAGTTTATAAAAAATGAACAACATTTGCATTTGACATGGCAATTCCACTTGAGGTCACTGTCCTTAAAAACTCTAGCTTGAGAAAACAGATGACATTTCACGACCCACCAACAGTTTAACCGCGAAATGACATCTGAGAAACAAGCACAGAAATTCCATACTTGGTTGAAGCAAGTTTCACAAGCAGCGCAACAAATCTGGGTAGTGAAGCGTTATCAGTAAGGAATTTCTATGCTCGTTTCTGAGACGTCATTTCACGGGGAAACCATTGGTGGCATCACCAAATGTTGCCTGTTTTCACACCCTACAAAAACTCTTAAGATCTTGTAGTTTGTCACATGTTCTAATAAATTACTACCTTTTGTGCCTGGTCTTAGCAAGAAGTCAGAATTAGGTAAAAAGTTAGTAAACATTTCTCTACACCGAGTTGGATTTCATTTTACATTTTGAGCTGTTGAGGATAGTTATGGATGCCAGATAAAGCAGTGTTCAGTAGATTTAGAGAGTTTCTAGGGAAAACAGGGATGTAGCTGACGAAAAGATCATTAAGCAGGTTTTTTTATTGGTCAAGCCAACTTTTCAGTCAACTGCACCTCATGTCTTTGTTTTTGAGAGAAATTTGCGGTAGTGGCAAGGTCTTTTTCAGCTGGTAAAATTAGCCAGTAACCAGCTATTACCTAAGGCTATCCCTGGGATAATATCCAATGTAGTAGCGTGCAAAGAAAGTAGTGTCCAATAGCCCGGGGCTGGTGGATTTTGCTATCGGGCTAGTGAATTCTGTTCTTAACTTGCCCGATGGGCAAGTGGC